AACACTGGCGTGGGATTGGGAGGATTAAACTTGATCTTAGTTTTTTTTTCCAGCTCAATGCCTTTGTCGCCCTGCATAGCTCGATCGTCCAGGAACACAGGACTGATTTAGGAGGGAGCGAGGGGGAGCTGCGGATGCCCCTCCCTTACCTCAGCGATTCGACACCCTGCCGACCGAAATCCCCCCCGCGGACCCCAAAATTTTCCAATTTATACTAGTTTTGAGGGAAGAGAAAGCGTCGAAAAAACGCGATTTTTTGGTAAAAAATTTCCAAAAAGTGCCTAAAAACGCATTTTTGTCCTGTTTTTTCAAAAGTTTGCCTGCGGTGCAGAAAACCTGGTCAAACCAAGGTCTTTTTTATAGGAGAGCTCGGAAAATCAAAAACTAAAAAAAGGTCGACAATGTTTTAGATTTTTTTTTGAAAATCCCCCCCCCTCGTGAAAATCTTAGATCCGCCCCTGCAGGAACAGTTAACAGTTGGTTTCTTTTTTATCTGACAAAAAAAAATCTAGTTTCACAGTAATGCTTGGAAATTTTGCATCGCTCTCAATTTTTAAAATTACTAACAAAAACGTTTTTTCAGCCCTTCTTCTAATTAGGCCATGTAAACATATTTGGTCTTGAAACTCAACCTTGTAAAACCACTCGTTACACAATGAAATCAAATCGATGCTTATGTGAGGTGGGGGGAGGGGTGAAGGAAAAAGAGCCGAAAAAAGTCACTTTCATATATGAATCTTTTAATGGAAAGAAAATAGCCAAACAAATATCGATTCGTTGCTTCTATTCTGTAGAATTTCTATCCATTAAATTTTTCTCCCCTCCCCCACAACCAGATGAGAAGAAAAGTTTTACGACGTATAAATAATCGTTAGGCTATATAAAATTAATAACTAGGCTTGAAATTGGGCAAAAACGCCAAAACTTTCTTAAATTTCGTGAAGTTAAACGGGCTCCGCGACCACTGGGAACAAAATTCGGTACAAGTATAATAATTGGGTCCCAGAAAAAAAGCAAGTACGCAAAATAGGTCCCGCATTTTTTGTCTAAACTTCGAAAAACACAATTAAGCAACTGCGACAACATATTTTCGAAGATTTTAATGCCTTAAGTTTTTTTTAGGGGCCCAACTATTATATTTGCACCAAAATTTCTCCGAGTGGCCTGAAGGTGGTTAGTGGGCATGCTTCAAAACTAACCGGATATATCCGAATTGGGCGTGATCTTGACCTTCACATCATCTTCAATGAAGTTACTCTTATGAAGTCCTTTCTGCTCCTTTTTCTCTTTATTGCTCGTATTGATTGCTGTGTGACTAAAACATGAAGTTGTTTCCTATTTCATTCCCCTCAAGGATTTGTCTCACAGCCGACCCGAAGGGTCCCCCTTTGGTACTATTTTAGGACATCCAATTTTGGCTTCCAGGCACTAAAATTATTCTAAAGGCGCCTTGGGCGCCGATATATACTAATTTTGAAGGGAACCGCGCGTTCTTTGGCCTGTATGTTCAAAAAGTTGCCTGCGGCGCTAGAAATTTGCTAAAAATGCGTTCTTTATAGCGATTTGGAAGAGATCGGAAAAGCAATTAAAAGCTCGATATAAAATAGGTCGACCAAATTTTTGCCCCTCGTTCGAAAAAACACTAGATCCGCCTCTGAATAAGACCTTGCATTAACTGATTTGCTTAAAATAGAAGACCAGGACGAAACCATAAAGGCAACAAACCGAAAACTAGGGGTAGGCCCAGATTATTGCCACATTTTTGATTAGGTAGATGGAATCTTTCTTCTAGGTGGATTTTCTTTTCCTTCTTCAGACAAAATTCGACTTCATAACTAACAAGGTTTGACTCTTTGACCTTTTTATAAAGTCTGATAGATAGAAAACTAGATACTCAAAGTTGTTTAAAATTATTTTACGATTTAGATGGGAATTGAGAGTTTCAAATTGGACATTTTTTGCATACCTAAGGAGCGAAAAAGTTCTAAGATTCAATTAAGCGTTGTGTAATTAAGCGTTAAGCGTTAGTTAAGGTGATTAGTTCAAAAATCTTTCCACATTAATTGAATTAAAGTATAAATCGGAACGTTGTGCTACTAAAGTAAAACCATATCATTTTGTTGGTTTTTAACATTGCGTTTTTCAAACCATATCAGTTTCTTAGACTTCCAAACAAAGCACCACAAACTGTTCTGGATACCGCAAACACAGTTGCGGATTCCGAAAATTCGCCTATTTTTGGAGCGATTTTGAGCAGTACAATGTTTTAGGTATTTGTTTAAGGAACCCAAAACAGCAAAGAATATTAAAAAAAGTAGCAATATTGCGGATTCCGCGACAAATTTGATTTTTGACTGTTGCGGATTCCGCTTACAAGGCAGAGAATGCACAGTTTGGCCTCATAATGTTGTACTCGGCTTTTTTCTTTGCATGCAAATTTCGACTTCACTCAGAATGATTTCCGGAAAAATTATTTGAAAATTACCATTTGAATCGAATGGAATAATTAATACGCGCTATTTGAATACAGATTATAATTTTATAGTTACTATATAAATGTATAATTACCATTTGAATCAAATGGGACAACTAAATCGCGCTCTTTGTACAGTTTTAGACCTTATAAGAGCAAAAACTTTATGATTGATGAATATTATTAAATTTTTAAACAACTAAGAATTTGCAAGTAAGTAGCTCAAATGGCTAGAAAGAACTAACGTGGAGCAATAAGCCGAGCACCTAAATTGTGCCAGATAAAGTTGCGATAAAAAACAAAAAGTAGGAAACTACTGGTAAATTTTTCTCGAATCGTCATCAACTATTTTAATTTAAACTACTCCATAGAACTAAAAGTACAAACGGAACATTAAATGCTTCGCCCTGATACGAGCAGTTTTGTTGTTATAACAATTTTTGAAGAAAATGACGGTGTATTTGTGCTCGGAATGTCTTTTTTCTCCAGACGAATTTCACTTTTTTAAATAGCAATTTTTGATGAGAAATTTTGATTATTATTAGAAAATAATGGTGTTCTGATTTCAATAGTAATAAATTATTTCACCTGTGATTGATTTCTATACAGTTGTAGGGTTTTAAAGATTTTAGCCAATTTGGGACAATTAATACGCGTTATTTTTTGTGCTCTTAACGCGTAAGCGGAGATTTCATCCGTCTTAGAAATTATTTCTAAATGCGGTGAAGCTTGATTTTTTCTCTATGTATTTCTTTGGTAGATGCAAAGTTTGTACTTTAGCGTGCTTATGCGTTGTACTTTAGCATGCGGTAGGATGATTTACAAAAAACCTCGAAAAAATTTGAATTTTGTTTGTTAGTTTGAAAACTTCATTTATTATTTGATTTCAAACTACTGCATAGAAAACAAACTGCAGTCAGAGGCTTTAGGGTTTTGCCCTGATTCGGGCAGAAATAATGATTATTTTGCGCTTGTTTTTGCAATTTTGACTAAGTTATTTTGTATCGAGTAATTTTGACCGCTTTCTCTATCGCGTACAGTTGGCATATTCTTACTCGGATTGTAGTAGAGTAGTTTCGGCTAAATCGCGTGTGTTTTGTAGACAATAGCGATTAAGTAGCTGTTTAAACAATACTCCGGAAAATATAACAACAAAAAACAATCATTTGCTATCAGTTTTAAAGCTTTCAAAAATATCGAAGTTTTCAAACATAGGTTTATCTATTATCGAGTGTCAACTCCTACATTAACAAAGCATGGGTATTTTTAAAATCATTTTCAGGTTAAAAGATAACACATATTTCACAACGTTAAATTTTACTAATTCTAAAGAATCATTGAACTAATTTCTTGCTCTAAGTTCCAGCGAGAACGTTCTCGGCCCCAGACAGAGGAAAAAGAGATACCAATTGATGTCGGTCGCGCCAGTACTCCGGTGTGGGTCTATTAGTACGGCTGATTGAGCAATTTGGTTTTTTCCTTGAATAAATTTTTCATACAAGCCAAAGGGTAATTAACACTAGGGCTGCGTTTGATTACATTCTAGACTAAAACGCCGGATTTCAAATGAAAATTTGTTTCCGCGTACCATTTTGATCGTTTATTTAAAAACGTTGTGCACAAATGTATTGCTTACGATGATCAGACTTCTCCCCGACCGATTGAAATCGAGGGGAAGCTAATAGTATGTCGGCGCCTTGCAGAAAACAAAAGGAAATTCACACTTCAGGGGCATCGGGGCATGTTCTAACTAATACTATTGGGCGAGCAATCAGTGCTTGTTCTACAGTGCAAACAGTCGTTCCAAACTTCATGTGTGAGTTTTCTGTTTTCTAAATGTGCGTCAAAAAACTACCTTAAAACAGTGAGCAAACCATTCCTATGGCCCACTGTGGTGCGCAGTTGACGGCGGGTTGCGTTTCCATTTCAGACCTTTGTAGACCAGCTCTGCGGATGTCTTTGTGTTCCAAGACTGAACTCAGAGTAGAAGTTCGTTCTCGGTTCTCGTTCGAATCACTGTCAAATCAAATGTCTAACGAAGTTCCGCGACGAGCACTGAATCATTCCATCACCATTACACAAGTTATTGTATTCAGTGACAAAATAATCTGAATATGTATAACCCTTGTGCTCAAGGACGTAAATAGGAAGCGCCACCGTATCAATCAAATCGAATTGAGACGTAAAGGGTCAAAAGTTTTCTACACCTCAGTTTGTGAAGGGCAACTGACAATAACCAAGCAGTTCCACAGGAAGCTCTGCCATATTTGGAGCGACAGTTTTTGCTTCACGCTTTCTACAGATGTCGCAATGAACTTAAACAGACTTGAAAAAGGCGCAAAAAGTAAAAATAGCAAACTCTAATTGAATCAATGCGCGCATACTATCTACGACTTGCTGGGTTTTGTGACTCTGAAAATCTCTGATGAACAGTTTTACAAGAGTTTGCCTGCCATCAAGATTGATAGAATGTTCAGTATCAGTTTTTGTTTCAGAGAGGCGGCGAAAGCGCTCTGTTGAAGAACGAGGCCAGCGGGTCCAGAAAACGGAGGGTTTTCTTCGAAACGGTTGACTTTGTGAAGGCTTTGTGTCGGGACAGAAATAAGACGTCAACCTCAAAGACTTCAATTTGCGGCAGCAACAAGTGTCTTTGTTTTACTATTTCCAATTCAACTGGAACTGCTCAAGGATCTGTTTAAAATGGCGTGATTTGTATTGGCTGGACCGGGATCACTGTCCGCAAAACTAGAACAGACGCTCAGTAAGCTATCGCTGGCGTTATTTTTCCAGGTTCATCATACGCCTTTCGAAATGCTTTGTTAGTTTACTTTTAATTTACTTTTGTGTTAAAGCTTGCTGAGTTGACGCTTGAGTTATCGGGATCCTGTTTAGAGTTCACTCAGTTGGCAACATGAAGCAATTTACTATGGTTGCTGTTGCCGCCCGGCTCGATGCATGTCTTAGCTCGGGGCACTTGTCAAACTTGTGCTTTCATTGCACACAGAAAAACACAGCTTTTTCTTTGCTGAAAAATTTGATCTTTATGTTGGGGTAATCTATTTTGATTCGGAGCATTTCCAAATCGCGTTTATGCTTTTACGAAAATTGCATGCCGGAAAACTGCTTTTTTGTCAAACTAATGTAGTTGGATCATAAACTAATGTAGTTGGGTTCAAAAAATGACTTTAAAAAACCTTTTACACTTTATTGAGTTTATGGGCGCTTTAGCTATCGGCTTCCACCACGGCTAACAACCAACATGTCATTACGCTGGTCTTGTGAATATGTGAAGACGTTTCTGGACTACTAAGAGAAAATTTTTCTTCTTTTGGTGGTGCGGTTCGGGTGCGTATAAAGTTTTGTTATTTAAGGAACTTCGTTTGTGAACATATTCGACTTAAAAACATCGAATGCTAATAATTTGACTAATTTTTGATTCATTTTAAACGCTACATCCGTATCCTCAAAGAATCCGCTTCCTCGAAAAGGACTCTACTAAACGTCCATAAAGCACTTTTGAAGTAATGTTGACGCTGCATTAGGGAACCTTGCCTGGTTACCCAACGCAGATCTTCGCAATGCTCATTTCGCATAACCTTGCAACAAATTTTTGGCGAGTCTCTTGCACCAGCGATATATCTGGTGCACTGATGTTCAAACACAGCAGCTGAGGGTTCTGTCGCCTCAGAAAACAAGAGAAGGTCGACTATCTGGCAAGACTCCCACCTGTAGGAAATTTCTTTCAAATCAGCCGAGACAGCATAGTGATGCTGCCAAAATTGAGAAGAACAAGTGTAAGTGTTTGCTGGCTCTTTTGCTTGGTTTGAGACATCAATTTGCTT